TGTTGCGTAGATATATACGAGTATATAAATTTTGATTTGACTTCTTTTTTTTTCTATGTACAATACTGCAATAGCAAGTCGAAGCTATTTCTTTCGCGTTCTCTTCTAAATTGCGTTCTTCGCGTACATCTTAACACATTGTGCCAAAGCATGCACATTTTTCGGAGCTCTGAGAAACTCAGACGCATGCAAGCAACTTTCTATTCACATTCTATTCACAACTTATCTCAGAATTCCTGTTGCAAGGTATTTCCTACCCCGACAACGTAACAATCAGATATGACTATATTTTAAATTCACCGAGCTGTCGGTATGGAATTATAACAAAATGCAAATACGAGAAATCTCGTGACTCGGTCTCAATGTTTGATTCAGAAAACATATGTGATATCTCGTGAGCCGTATACACGCATTGAGTTAACATTTCATAAATAAAGCCCGGCTAATTAGCAAAATCGCGTCTTCGCCAGACACGCTTCCACCGTTCGAGCTACCTTTCACTGTCAGCGGATATTATCCGATTTTTCGACCTCGAGTTTACTTCGCGAAAGGACATCGTATCGTGACATAGTTAAGAAATTATTGGTACTTAGACCTTGCAATGTACAGCGAGATCTCTTGCCTCGCGTGACTTCACGACGTGCCGCTTCGTGAGATGGTAGTGCGTCAAAAATCTTGGCGAGTGACAGTCAAGGTTTCGATAGTTTTTATAATGAACCCCGGGAACGGGCGCTTTTTTTTTAAATAAATGGTTACCTGGGTGATTTTTACACCCCAATTAAAAGTCATCGTTACTAATTACATATTGTATATTTTTAATTCTTCTATAATTTATTTTTAGTTGAGAACAATATGTATATAAGTTTACTCAACATTTTCTGAAAAAAGTAAGGAGAAACCAAAAAATGTTTTAAATGAAAGAAACACATTAAAATTACTGTGACGCGAGCTTCATTTCTTCGATACTGGGATGTAAGAAAACACCCAAGCGCCCGTTCCCGCGTTAAGAGAAGTACGAAAGGTATCGGGAAAAGGAAAACAAATACTCTCAAATATCGTGCTCGGTATTGTAATCGACGATATCTCCGGCTGACAAATTTTTAAAGATATTTGCAATATTAATAGCAATATTAGTGCGCCTCGAGAATTTCTGCGGTTTGCCAGACGATCGTCTTTCGAGCGGTCCTCCGGAAGTGAGAAATAATCTACCTGACTAGAGAAGAGCCAGGGAAGATCCGAATGCGTTTGTTGCAAATTGAATCTTCATACATATAAATTAACGAGGTCAAGATATCATCGAGGTGGAAGTGAGGATCCGCGCGACGTACGACGTGTACTTATTGAGAGTAAATTGCAGACGACTGCTTATGAATTTGGATCGTGACTTGGGCGATAAGCAACACGCAACGATCCACCGTGAGGATCGCGCGTCGTGGTAAAATAAATCCAGACACGCAACTCACGCGCGCCGTTTGCATAATGCGGACGCGTTAGTCCGCGATCTATCCGCGCGCAAGAGCAGAATTAATCCTTCGCGGCGCAGAAATTTTTTGCGCGGAGAAACGATGCAGAAAAAAGTCATCCTATAAATAAAAGATGCGAGAAACATAATGGTCGCAAGTGCGCTAAGTGTACCGGTTCGATGTCTCAGCTGCAACGATCTCTCTCGCGTAAAACAGCCGGCTAAAGTAAACCGTTCTCGAAATGCTTGCTAACGCGTACCACTCTATGCCTGAATGGACAAATTGTACTCTCAATTTGTACGGTCATATTTGTCGGTCACGATTAGTAATCGCCACATTGTGGCAAAGACAGATGCTTTCTGGATGACTTATCAACGGCGACGCTTATATAAGTGCTTTCTCATCATCGAAACCGTCGCAAATGTCGTTTACTTTTACTATACATATTACTACAAAAAAAATAAGTGTCAAATCAAGACTTATATACTCGTATATATACAACAATCTAAAATCTTATAAAAATTTCAACTTTTTATTTCAACTTTTTTTCTCGGTTGAACTATATAAAATTATTCAAACATGTTTTCTTCGTTTATAATCTTATTTCAGAATTATATATTATGCGAATTAAAGAGAAGGGTAGTCCGGGCTTATATTGCACGAAATTTCGGCAGAAGAGACGGGGAGGGGTCTTGGAAAATGCCGGAGGTGCCACGCGCGAAACGCGCGTTCGCGTGCATGCCATAATAACGACACTCTCGTGGCTGCAAATTACGGGCACCGCATACCAATCCGACGTCCGTATTCACCTTGCGAGCTTCCTCTCTTGCAGGCTCGCATACGCGAAATGAAGATATCAAAGCCCGCTTAGGCCTACCCAAGCCCCGTATACCTCCTCACACGCGCGTCGACCTTTATTAAGATGCCCTTTAAACTCCGTGCACGTGAGAGCGGCCGCGCGCATATAATTTTAATGCGTAAGGATTCACTTCCTCGCATACTTTCCATTGCTCGAAAAATAAACGTAAGATAGAAGTGGATTTATTTGATAAAAACTGTATGAAATGCAGCGCGTATTATTTGTATCGCCGAGAAAGATCGCAACGATTTCGCCTTGCTGCTTCAATTACTCCGATTAGATTTAGCAAAAAGAGATAATCTTAAATGATAGTCGAGGAGTTGGCTGCAACAACGACGTAACTCGAGAAGAAATACTATATCTTGGAATTAATTCAAAATTTCAAAAATAATTATAATAAAAATATAAGCAAATATAATGTAAAGAGTATAAGCTGGAGAGTATAAGAGTAGAGTTCAAGTACGATTGAATAATTTAAATGTTAGCAAAAATCAGAGCGATAGTAGCGGTATGTGGTATTAAATAGACGTTGGCCGACTTTAGACTACTGTTGCATCCACTCCCTGCGAGACTCTTCGGGGGAACAACTTCTGAGAGTCGTCGGATTTGATTTTGCAAGGCGCGTGCTCCGAACCGGAGGCGGTCTGTGCAAACTTACCATGACTGGTGCACGTGTGCGCCTATATGTCATCTAATGTCGCAGTTGTTGGCCGTTCAGCAGGGGCATGTCTACGAAGGTGACAATCGGAGCGGCTGGCGTCGAGAACGAAACTCGAAATCGTTGTCTCTCTTTCTCTTTTTTCTTTTTTTTCTTTCTCTCTCTCTCGTTCTCTCTTTCTATCTCTCTCTATCTTTCTCTCGTCGCGTCGTTGCACCCTACACAGTCAACACGAATCACATATACGTAAACACATACACACAGAGAGATGCGTGCCGCAAGCGCGCGCGTGCATCCGCCTCCTCCACTTTTCCACACACAAGACACGGGGGCCTTCTGGTTCGCCTGTAAAATTTTCCGGCTTTCCGAATCTCCGGTACAATCCGTGGGATACTATCCGAGGGATTCCCGCGCGATCGTCAGCATCGATCCCGAGATCGATCAGTGGGTCAATAGGGGGAGGAAACGCCACCCCGGCCGGGAAGAAAGAAGTCGCGTTTCCGGCGACGCGTTTGTTCTTCTTCGGAAGAAAGAACGGCACGGGAACGCGTGGCCGGCTCGCGCGTACGATTCACGCCAGTCGAAGAAGGGCAAGAGAAGCGACGGACGGATTTTCAACCTGGCGGACACCGACTGAGCCCGCGACCGGCAGGTAGGTGAGCCGTTGCCCCTCCACCGATTCGCTCGCTGCCGCACCACCACCGGTCGCCGCTCACCGTGTTCTCCATTCTCATTTCCTTTGCTTCACTTGCCTTCGCCGCTCCTTCTACTTCTCTCCTTCTTCGTCCTCCTTCGCTCCTCGCACGCCGCACGTATACGCGCGTTTCCCGCAGAGACGGCTGTGCCGTCGGGCGAACTGGGTGACCGCGCGTGTGAAAGTGCATCATCGCGTACGACTGTACTTAACGATCGCAATCGTGTGTATCTTCGTAAACGCTTTCGTCGAGATCCTCGCTGCGAGGACCTCCCACGTTCAGGTTCTCGCAAATGCTAACGCGCGAAAAAGCCAATAAGACGCTATTGTATAAATAAATCGTTCGTTGAATCGTCAAAGACATTTCCGTAAAATATCTTGCTCAATTATTTGCGATCGTGATAGATACTTTTTGCGTCTATAAGATCACCATGCAAAAATCTCATCCCTAAATCGTAAAAAAAAAATTTAAGCGCACAAACTTAAATTAAAATATCTTCGTTGAAAATAAAAGCATGTGCAAGCACTCTGCATTAAAATTTCGCTTACAATTAGAAAGTTCATCTCTAATATAGAAACTTTAGAAACTTTCGCTGCGAAACGCATCCGGGATCGTAAAAAAAGCGCGGCCTCTACCTTGAGCTGCAATTAACAATTTACAAAGGCCTCGTGTTTGCAGAGGCTTTTGCGTGCGCAAGGGCTTCGTATTAGACCATGAGAAGGCTGTAAGATTTCATCAGGCCTGGCATATAGAAGTCAAATATCTGTAAGCGCTTTATCACCGAAGCCTTTGTGCGTACAATGGCTCGCTCAATGAAGTAGAACCTCGCGGTATTCATTAGTAGTAAATACGTTGCCTAGGGCACCGTTAACTCTAAAGCCGCCTCTGTCTCCCTCCGTATGCTTGTAACGTGGCTTATTAACGCACAAGCGGTAGATCATAGTCATCATGTTCTATCTGCGTTAACGAGATTACGTCCCGCATAATTATACGCTTTTCGATGAAGGATTATTACGGTCAAACTATATGCAGCTACAATTACATTCCAATACTTTGTGTAAAACCGTAATAATTATAAATTTTAAGATGCAAAATACAGTCGCTCATCCGTTCACCGCTGCGATATGTAATTCAGCAATTTTATCAATAATTTTATCAATATTTAAAGCATTTTTTTAGTTAGTTAACTAAAGCTTAACTTCTGAAAAAATTTACAAGCTTATTTTTTTAAAAGCAGGATATATATGTGAACTGTTAAACCTCGTTAGCTGCAATGGGAGGAAAACACAGGTTCTTGCTATCAATAGGCATTATTACAATGTACATATTTAACTATAGGTATCATTTTATTGATAACCCTATGGATAAAATTAATGAGACGCAATAACGGCATCTGGCTTTTCGTCTTCTTCTTCTTCTGCTTCGAGTGTGCTATCCGTGCTATCTTTAGCCAGATACTGTTCAAAATCAACTTTAAGCATTTCTGGCGATGGCAAACATGTAACACGAGTTCTGTTAAAGTATAATCATAATTATTTATTTGCGTATATAAGAACATGATCATTTTCATGTGAATGATTTTGAATGTTACCTTGTGATAAAAGGTCCCGGTCGACGTGGCTTTGCAGCATCAACGTCTTGAATAATGGCAGCAAAATTCTCCTCTAATTGTTTCGTGTCCATATCGATCTATAATATAATAAATTAATCGGTAATTTTTTTTTTCAAATCGTCTATAAAATGTATAATTTGTATCAATATCTACTTATAACAATACAAAAAATTTATATAAATACCATCAAAACTTACCGTTCCAAATGCGATATCGATGGTGCCGTAAGACTTCAGCATTTCATGCGGCTTTGCCGTATATTTTATGCCGTTTAGAAATTTCGTTACGAGCATTTTTATGTCGGCACTCAGAGTACCTAATGGAACAAAAATCATATAATAAAGAACGTAAAACGTTTATTTTCACTCTCGCAGGCCACACTTATTTTTTGCATATGTGTAAGCTACACTGAGGTTTCGAGGACCCCAGCCATTTTTCGCTCATAAGTTTCGAAAAAATCAACGTATTTTGTAATGTTTTGGTAATCTCAGAATTTGTAAAAGAAAAATTATTACCAAAAACACGCATTAAAGATATAAATAATAGTTCCAAACGTAGTTCAAAAATTTCGTTGGGGTCTCTGAGATCTCAGTGTAGCTTTCGAGAGTTAAGATTGGCATGATGTGGTTGCAGAGATCTTGCGCAAAAACTTTATACTTCAAAATCTAATAACATTTTTAAATTAGATAGTTTATATGCCGCTAATCACGTATTATTAACAAAGTGATAAGTTTTTACATGATTCAATAATTTATATGAACGCTTGAATTCCAGATAGAATTCCAGATGCTAAGTATATACGTTCTACCATTACTGTGTACATTACATGTGTATTACTTTCTACGTTAATAATGTATTTATGCAGTGAAGTGCCCTCAGTGTATCATAAAGATGAAAATTTCAAAGTATATATACCTATTTCTACTAACCTCCTTTAACACTGGGGAACTTCTTCCTCATAAGTCCCCTAATCAGCAACAAATCTGGTAACATACTTGGCTCTGATACAACAATGTCATATTCTTTCAATGAAAATTGTCCATTCTAAAAAAAAAATAGTAGAAATCCCATCAGTGATAATGATAATGTACTAAAAAACGTAATCTTTGCAAATTTGTTAGATGATTGATGGTACATACGCATGGAAAAAACGCATGAACAATCGTTTCAAGAAACAGTAATATATTACCTCACCTGAATCTGCTTTATTATTTGTTTACCACCAGCGACATGAGCTCCAGCTTCTCTCGCAATATCCTCCATTTCGGAAGTCTTACAGAATGCCAATACTTTTCTGTTTTGACCATGATCGAATCCATGCGGTAGACATACTAATCGTGTGAAAGCCTCGACAAACTTTGTCTTTTTTACACCCTGATAACATAGGTAACATATTTAGCACAATCGTATATAAACATATTATACATCTCGCATCCACTTCTTTTTCATTTCTTTTCACCTGCATATCCAATTCTATAAGCGCATTTATAGGTGCATTTGGCAAATTATATATAGTGGGATGATGCGTTTCACGATGATTCTGCAATGCTTCTTCGAACGAATGAATTTTCCATTTATGAAATTTAGAAATCCATACATTATCTATTGCCTCGGACCTTTTACTATCGTCCAATATAATATCGTTTACATCCAGTTTCTTCTTTTTAGCTTGACTGATACCGCAAGAGAATAACATGGATATTAATGTTATTATTAATTAATATTTTCATACATACGATATGAAAACGCGCTTACATCTTCGCCGCTCTCTGAACGTGTGGGATAAAGCCCACTTTTTCAATGACCTGTTTGACTTTCTTCTTCCTCGCCTTTTCTCTTGTACCTTTCCTGGCAGCATAGTTTCGCGCTTGTAGGAAACCGACGGGACAAAAATTAAGACACGTCACGTGCCTATAACTTGCGGAAAGATTGTTCAATAACCAGCCTGTAAAACAGAACCACCTTCAGAAGAAATAACACTGTGTTAATTGTACCGAGTAAAAATATTATTTGTGGTTATGTATAATGACCACTCTTAATGAGGAAAAGCAACCGTTACGGAGAGTCTTATTAATCGTTAAGCAACAAACGAGAAAGCATTTGATCAATCATTTTTCCGTATATTATTAATTATATCAAAAAGAACAAAACAAAAGATGTACCATTAACCGCTGCCGCCATGTTTTATCAAGCAGAAGAAACGTGACGAAGCCACGAACTATAGTTGTTCTATAGATAGCGACTCGCATTTTCATAAGGCTGCTTTCCGAAAGTTATCAAAAAGTATTTTAAAGTATTTTAATTAAAAAAATTAAAACCCCTCAAGGGGGCCGATTGTTTCAACCTATTGGTAAACTAACTAATCATATGTCTTATTTAATTTGAAGGAAAAACAAAGACATATATGATTTAAGTAATAAATTTACCTAAATGTACTGTCATCTTAGCTTTCTATAATTCCTCTAATTCTAATTATTTTAAATTAGTATTAACATCGCTTGTTACCCCTACTTACAACTCTTATCATTCTACACTTGTACCTCAGAAACATTTAGAGAGTTCCCACTCAAAACGAATAATAAATAAAAAGCGTGAAATAAGATGTTTCAGATTTCAAGATGTTTTTTATTAATGTACCATAATTATAATTATTTAGCTTTCTTGCTCTTGATCTTCCTCATATAAAACTCGAGTTCCTTGCCCTCGAGGATGTAACCGTCGGATCTACCGCACTGACCAGGCCTGCTTGCGATACAAGCTGAAAGTAAAATTAATTATTACTTATTACTTATTAAAATTATTCTCGAGTTGTGTTAAGCTCGAAATATATACAATATAAGGGAGTATTCGACGATTGATTCAAATTAAAGCATTCTCTTTTACATCGTTTCGTTTGAAAATAAATTCATTTAATTCGCTCAAAAACATGTTAACGAATTAAGTCTATAAAGATTGAAAAGAATTAAGATTTTCCATACCAAGAACACGTCCTGTTGCAAACTGTTCTTCCAAGGCTGGCTCAACCTTGGCAAATCGCTGTCTGGCCTTGTATTTGGATTCCGCCTTTTTAGAACGCTTCTTATTCAGCACTTCCTCCTCAGCTTCCGTCTGAGAAAACAATTATATTCCACTTTTATATCATATACACGTGATATTTCACAAATTCAAATCAAGTTATGTTTAAACGCTCACCAATTTAGCACCTCTTTTGCGGCCCAGGGGTAATACGTAATGACCCTCGTACCATTGCCTGAACGGCGTAGCATCGATGGTGACAATGGCGTTCTTCACCAGAGTTTTGGTTCGTACCAACTCGTTATTGGACGCATTGTATACAACGTCGATAATACGAGTCTTCCTGGTACTGCACTCAGAGCCCCAGGAAAAGTTTCCTGTATCCAACCTAAGTGCTCTGTACTTCTTATTGCCCCCACGTGTACGGACCTGGTATACACACGTAAAATAGATACGTTTAGAACTAATTTCAACACATAAAAAATATATATTTTATAAAATATTGCTCAGATCGCTGTGAGATTATGAATAATCATGGCACTCAGAGTAGGTAAGGATATCATCATTATAATTTCATAATACAGTGAATTGTCAAAATACTTTCTCATAAATGATTGTAACAATATAAATAACATTTCAAAAACATCAATATAATCACATGTATAACAGTGAACTATATCTAGCTGAACTATATCTTATTTTTTATGATTTTAATACTTAATTTAACTATAATGCCTATTTAAATTTACAATTCAATCGTGATGAAAATTAAGTTTGAGCTTACAGTATGAATTCGCTGTGGTCCAAGCTTGGTGTTCGCAGCTGGACGTCCCAATTCGAATTTCCTCTTCTTGCGGAGAGGTTTCCTCTTTCCTCCAGTAGCTCTCCGCTTATGCCAATGATCCCGGGAGATACCTACAGTGCAATTTTGATAAGCAATTTAGTATACTTAAACTTAGTAAGCGCAGGCTCATTAGAAGACTCGTTAGAAAAGTTAACCTAATCAAGTACCACGTCATGTCGATGTTACAGAACTTTTTTTTTCTACAGGAAGTATAGAAGATTCTAAACGCGCGAACAATCTGCACTATCTACGTTCGTCTGCAGCGTGGCTTTCGTTATTATTTAATAAATAAGAAAAATACAAAACACCGCGAAAGCATCACGCGTTCGACATTGCTGCTCGGTGTCGACGAGCGTCGAGATGGTTTTTGCGAAGCTAAGGCGAGAATACGGAAATAATATTCTCCATCAACGAAAAGACGGTGTCCGATTCACGCGCCGATTGTATTTCGTCGCGATATCGTGGCGAGAGATCTCGGATTCGCGACGATGAAAATTAATTTCGGCAAAACCATGCCACTCACCCATCTTGCCGCGATGCAGAAAGAACCCGGACTTACGAGATACTAGAGAAACCACCACGTTGAGCGATAAAACCTCGCCCACTTCCGCGAAACAGAAGCGCTTTTGATTGGTCG